ATGTATGTATGTATATGTGTATATGCACGCATGTATGCATGGATGTATACATACACACATCTACACACCCGTGAACCTGTGTCTATGTGTGTACGTAGGTGTGCATGTCTGTATGTCTGTAAGTTTGTATATATGAATTACATATGTACGCGTGCGTACATGCGTGCATGCATGCATGGATGGATGGATGTATGTGCGTAAGTGTGTATGTAGGCATTTCCGTATGTCTGTCTACCTGCATGGCTGGCTGGCAGGCTGGCTGGCTCGCTGTCTGTCTTTCTGCCTCTCTGTCTGTCTCCCTGTCTCTCTTTCGGTCTGTCTGCATGTATGTACGCATGTATGTACGAGTATAAGTACGTTTGTACAGAGCTATACATTTACTTTTAAATCTTGCTTTTCATGCATATGTTCTGTGCGTAAATGCATATGCACACGCACACGCAAGCAAACAGAGATACAGACACAGATATTAACCCACTTTGAATCGAGGGACCATGTCGACCTTGCACTTGTGTTGCATCGAGATTGGGCCGGCACTCTCGGGCAAGCTCCAGTGGGACTCAGCAGACACAGATGCTGCCTAAACCTTCAGCGCAACAGCCTTAAACATATTACCTCAGATGCGTGTGACTGTACCTGGACCTTGTCTGTACCATGAGCTTGGAAGTGGGTAGCATCGGTTCAAACTCACTTCGAACCCGTTACTATCATGAATGTTACAGCTCATCATTGCGATGAGAGTTTTGGCGACAAGATTTGATGTTGGACTGGAAGGGAGAGCAATGAGGGTTCAGGGGCACTAGCATCTAGCCACCTAGTCATGACTGCTCTCTTATGTTGCTTTCAGAGCGCAGTGCAGGGGGTCCAGGTTTGAGGTTACAGGTCCGTCTCGAAGCGTACGGCAGCATTGGAGTCCCTTAAAGACTCAGTAAATCAGGGAACTCCGTGCATATGGAGGAGGATGTCGAAGCCGAAGAAGGCTACTACTGGGTACGACAACTTCTGCTTTCATACATGTCCACCCGCAGCAGTTTGAGGATATTCTCGGTGTTGATGCTGATAAGAATTAAAAGTAGTCACGCTCATGCGATTCACTACTACTGCCACTGCCACCACCTCGAACAACACTTCCTCTTGCATTTCCATACTTACCATCCTCGTTTTATCCCGTGGACCTGAAAACCCAATCCATGGATACCGTACAATCCTAAAGCCCTTCTTTGACACATGCTGAGGCCTTATTTCGCAATGACGCCCAGCTCACTTCGTCTAGCC